AGTTTAACTAAACACGTTTAGGTGTGAATGGGGTATTAGTCAGATTGTGTGTTAAGTGATTGATGGCTGTTTAATTGACTGTTTAATTTACGAGATGCTGGTGTCATCCGTGACCATCCGTAACGTCGGATTTTAACGTTCAAAAACACGATCTACGAGTTTATTAAACAGTACTTATAACACTGGTTTCTGAAAGAATGGACATTCAGTATCCAAATGGCCTTAAGACATTAGGCCTTTGTGCTCAAAGTACAGCTCTTCTTCGCTCAATTAGAATAGCTTTATAAAAATTAGACAATTCAAAACATTTAAGGTGGCTGACTACTTTTCAACATTCGATTTGAGCTCACGATGTGCGCGCGCTCAAAAAAAGCTGAATGATCTTCAAGATTTTATTGAAGAACCATACACGTTTTGAACTTCAAGAGGGCAAAATTCTCAAATTTTGCACGGGACTCTATGCTTTTTTGTTATTTTCCGGAATAACAGGTGATGTCCCATTATTTGTCAAAGTTTAAGAAAATTCTGTTTATTAGAACAATGTAAAAAATCGTTCTGTTTGTTTCGTGCTCAATTTTTACAATAACTTGCACACCGCAAAACCTGAACACCCATTTTTCTTTGCATTTTTGAAAGCAGCATTATATTTCAGGTTAAAAGAGTTTCAAATTTAAATTTTCTGTTTATTATTTACCAAAGTAGTCAGCCACCGTAAGCACAATGAAAAGTGAAGGCTACAGAATTACAATGCTCGTCAGTACATCTCAACAACCGTGGGTTTCATCTCGTGTCATATTTCTACGGTCTTTAGCTATTAGGAAACTGCTCTTCTGAAAAATGTACTTTTTATTTTGGGGAAATAATTGTGCGCTTTTTGCGACAAATCTTATTTTGGCTTGTTATACATGCAAATCTACGTTTGGCGATTGCGTGACTTGAAACTTTCTTTGTCTACACATCTAGTCTAATAAGGAAGAATACATTTACACTAAAGATTCAGTAACTAATACCATAGTTCGTTTCAGAAGTACTCTTATAGTCTTTTGCTTTGTCTTAGAGTTATATGACAGATAATTTATTGTTTGGCACCAAAAAATATTTTGGCACCTGCAAGATACGCGTGGTCGGTCGCTTGCATCGCAGTATGAAATTTGAATAATTTAGCACTATGCTGTTCTTTCGATCCATTCTGTTTTCAACAACTGAAATCGAAAGCAACCCTCTATGTAGTCCTCCAACTTAAAATGTGACTCAGTTATGTTTTACAACGCCTTATTCTTTGTTTCGAAGTGTATTCGAAGATTATAGACCCTTGTCAGGAGCACATTACTTTTACTAATGGCTCCTGCCCCCTTGCAATAAATCACTCAGTGAATACTTTGTTTCCTGCATTTGACGTCAAATTTTATTCTTCTCAATTTCATAAAATAAAATCCAAAAATAATTTTTTTAACTTTGAATAAATTTGTTTGTAAATTTGTCAATTTTCACGTATTTATCAAACCATCAGTCGACCTTCAAACAAGAATGGACTTCGATTATGCAGCGGCCATCTTGGTTTGCAAGCCGATTATGGGTCCCAGGGGCAAAGCAAAACAAAGATGCGAAAGTGACGATTCAACGTTATTTCAGAAATTTCCTCAGTTGTGGAACTGTCCATTTTTTTAAATTCATCTCTTGTCAGATTGTCTTGTTATGAGCCGTAAATGTCAATCGCCGCCATTATTGTAACAGAGCTTTGTCTATTTGCTCCCTGGATGACCCATAATGCCTTGTGATTCAAGATGGCCGCTTACTCGTCGAAGAAGTCCATTCTTGTTTGAAGATCGACTGATGGTTTGATAAATAAATAAAGATAATTGGGGAAAGTCTGGTAGGTTGTGTTTTGGAGTTTGAGTTGTATTTGCTTATAAGTCTCAGGTCTCAGAGTCTCAAATCTTCTAGGTGAGCAGCCTTTTATGATGGTGACTGAAGTGGGAGTCTAATTATTTGTCTGCAAGTTGAAAAGAATCAATCTCATCCATCCATCCATCCATTTATCAATCCCATCCATCCATCCATCCTTCCTTCCACCCATCTATCCATCCATCCATCCTTCCTTCCACCCATCTATCCATCCATCCATCCATCTATTCAATAATTGCAAAAAAATTCCGTTTCAGTTTGTTTGTCAGGTCCATGGCTTTGTTAAATGCCAAAACAACTTTTACTTTACTAGTATCTGCTATTTTGGCGCTGACAATGCTTATGATTGTCAAGCAGTCAGGAATAATAAAAATGTACAACAGGGTGAGTATTAAAATCATCACATCCCACTCAGGGGAAATATAGCAAGCAGGTTTATTACAGCTTTTATGAGTCAAACTAAGAAATCCGTGAACACTGCTCAAATAAGGCTTTAGACCCATACGAGTGACACATCACGCTGTTTCTCTAATTTTGTAATTTATAAAATACGAATTACAATAACCACGTACGTTATTTTGAAATAGAAAGCGCACGCGCTTGCTGTGTGCTATCATAAAGCCTGTATCCCCAGCCAATCAAATTTATAACATTAAT